CTGACAAGAGAGCGTCAACAGTAGCGGAGTTGTTTAGAGACTGTTGGTATAGGTACTTCGGAGCACCGCTAGCTGTGTTGGTTGACGGGGCCACTGAATTCAAAGGAGAGTTCTTTGACCTGGTTCAGAAGTGCTGGAAGTGCAGGTTATATGTGACTGCGCCGTACCGACCACAAGGGAACGGTGTTAACGAGTCGAGTCACCGTGGAATATCGAAGGCTTTGCATGGAGCGGAGTGGAGTGGTTCGGAGTTGCGGGAGGCCGTGAGTTCTGCTGTGCTTGCGCACAACAACATCCCACACCCAGCGACAGGGCTAGCACCAGTGATGGCGTTGATAGGAACTGACGCAAGGTACTCAAATGAGTTGCCTTTAATGCGGCCGGAGGCTGTGAGAGTGGACGCACTTCTGGAGTTGCGTTTCCCGACAATGTTGAAATATGTGTCGACGGGCATGATGACCGAAGGGGAGCTTGGCATTGAGGAAAACGAGCGCGACATCGCGGTTGGTGACGTGGTACTGTACAGGTTACATGAGCGGTCGCCGGAGACTCATAGAGGGTCGCCGTCGGTTTTTGTGAAGGCCCACAGGTGGTCAGTGCCGTGCCAGGTGGTTGCGAAGAATACAACACGCTACATGTGCAACCTGTTGGGTTCCAGCGCGGAGTGAGTGTAGTCAGGGTGTCTGCCGCGGAGGCAAGGCATTGGATTGACAGAGTGCCGCAGCCCCAAAGGATCCCGGAGTTGTTGAAAGCCGCGGAGGAAGTAGTGGGGTCTAGCGGGATCCCCCGGAAACGAAAGCGCACTGACAACGAGCGAGACAACGACGACCTGGTCAAGGCGCCTGAGGAACTCGTCATGTTCTCAGCCGAGGAAGGCTGTGGTCTGTCGTAGTCGTGTATCGTCATTTGTCGTGTGCACGTTGTGTCTACGGGCCGTGAATCTTTAGGGTAAAGGGGGGACGCAAAACAACAGTAAGCCATGGTCGAGTCTACTACCCACGAGCACGACGGCGGCCTGAGTTCAGTCACGGAGGACCTGCGCGGTTCTGCTGACGACAGAACAATCGAACCGATCTGCGACCTCCTGTCGCAATCTACGCTCACAGATTGTGGTTTACAGATCGTCTTAATAGAATGTCAGGATACGGAGACCAAGCGCAAGTACCTCATATGACCCCCGGCAGAATGCCCACGAACGAAGAGGGAGCACAAATGTCCCATATGACACCCCAAAACATGAATGGAGATTCTCCCACAACGCATCATGGCAGGAGAGATATGCCTCACACGGCGGGAGAGATGTCTCACACAGGTGGAGGTATGCCTCAGATGAGGGGGTATGCATCGAATGACCAGAGATATGCCATGTGGACCACCCCC